ATAAAAGTGGCAATTATTTTAACCGCCCCTGGGCCCCCCCCCCCTAGGTCGACTCGGACTTAAATAATGAGTACCCGATACAGTGGGTAAACATCAGCACTGGGGAGACAAAGGCGGCCGGGCTTGGTGCTGGCCAGCCACCCCCTTTCCAAAGCCGTGCCACCCTTCATGAGGTGCTCACAGAGAGCCCTTGCCCCAACACGATGTTTCAAAGCTCCATTGGGGAGCTGTCTGTGTCAGAATGTGTGGCGTGACTGGGTGCGGTGGTGGCCACACCACGCCCTCACCTGTGGTTAGTTGAGCTCACGAGGCTCAACACATTTCATCACAATCGTTGTAACTTTCAGACCACGTGCCCCTACTGGACTTTGTGTGAAAAATAGCTTCAAAGCTCCATGGATTCCCCCTGCAGTCTAAATAAAGACACTTTGATCCTGTCATCTAAGCACTGCATTCGTCAATTTGTAATTTCAGTATTCATATGCGTTCGTGTGTACATTTGTCAGTCGACCCGTGGCACCTGGGTCTGCCCCGTGACCTCCTGCCAGCGGGCGTTCGACACTTCACGTGGCCTCAAGGTGCACATAGCCTGGCACAAGCGTCGTGGTGACGTCACCGCCACTTAGTGGCGAACGGCGGTTGTTGTTGTTTGATTACGTTTGCAAAGATTTAAGAGTTTGTAGCCTGTCGTGAACTCTGCCCACTCTCCATCGGCTTGTGCATCGAACTCCACAGAAAAAAAATTACTTGATGCACCGTTGACGTAGGCTGTGTTATTATTCGTGTTTAACGTGAGATTGGGAGTACAGTACCGTCGAGTTTCAGCATCACCTTGTGCGCGATTGGTGAAAAACAAATTGGTGTCCGAGCGATAATTTACTTGGAACAAAATATGAAAATTACGTTTTTCAGATGTTTATTTGTAAGCATAGACTCAATGATAATTGTGCCAAAATTCATGTTTGTAGCCATTCTCGAACAAAGTCAGATTTACGTCGGTCACTCAGTCAAGATCATCTGTGTGTACTCTATGGAATGCGTTACTGTGTCTATATAACGCGCATGACTACGCGTACATACGTGGATGCGTGTGGCTGCATTTCATTTACGCATATTGAGATGTGTGTGTGTGTACGTGACTCCGCACGTATGTTCACGTTCTTGTGCACGATCTACGTTTGGACGTATTAAGCATGCATTTATCTTCACTGTCGCCACGTTGCTCTATCCACTGCTGGATGAGGGCCTTCGCATCTGATGGTTGGTCCCGTCATGCCACAATCCATCACTCTAAGTTCACGGTGGGCATGCTCCTGGCGACGACCCCTCCAAAGGCTGCCAATGTTACCGGTCCCGCCCATCGGTTACCATTCCTTCTAGCGACACAGTCCTTCTCAACGTTCAAAATAACATGTACAATCTGTCATGCTTTCCCCCTCGTCCTGTCCACCATGCGCACCTCTGATCCACGTCACGGCGGGTAATGCGAACGAACTGAAAATTCTCCACGAGGCGCAGTGATTTGTTGCTTTTCGTTATCAATTCGACTGTTTCCAATGGACAACGTGGTCAATTTGGAGGCCGACTAACCATGACACCAAGCTGGGTCTCAGAAGCCGGCTTCAGCGGCAAGTGCCATGAGACCTTGCCGTGAACCTCCGCTAGGTCTACTCGGCCTTGAGTGAGTACCTGGTGAGCATCGGCACCAGGGGAGACAATGGCAGTTGGGCACGGTGCTGCCGACACCACATCATGTGCAGTGCCGGTCCTTCACAGGTGTTACTCGCAAACAGCACTTCCCCCATATAGCCTCAAAGGACTTGGGGCAGCTTTGTCTTTATTACACCTGGCGGCAGATTTTGTGTCTAAACCCTGGAAAGCAGTGACCGGGCCTTACTCACACGCCCTAAACACCACCGCTCCTCCCACCATCCGTAATCGTGGAAAGAATTTACACGGCCATTGCGTTACAGTTTTGCGGTCGCACTGCGTAGCTCTTCCAAGTGTTCGGGGCCGTGCCGTTTATGATTCGGCATTACATGCAACGTTTCGCTCCACACACTGGGACCTTATTCAGCGAAGTGAATGTCACACCTGGAGGAGGAGGAGGCGGGTGTGCAGCTCCCAGCAGGTGGAACAAAACGTCGGACATCGTGGAGAACAACGCGCGGTAACGGCAGCTCCGAAAAAGCACGTGGTGAGCCCGAATGCCAATTGTAGTCAATGACATTTCCCAACACTCTTCAGAAGCTCCGGTTGTTCAAGCCTCCCGTAAATCACGCGTGACTTCTTTGTGACCACCCCACTCTCAATCCCTCTCCTCCATAGGTCTCTCTCTCTAAATCAGCTCAAGCCTCCTGTAAATCACGTGTGACTTCTGTGTGACCACCCCACTCTCAATCCCTCTCCTCTCATCCATAGGTCTCTCTCTCTCTAAATCAGCTCAAGCCTCCTGTAAATCACGTGTGACTTCCGTGTGACCACCCCACTCTCAATCCCTCCCCTCTCATCCATAGGTCTCTCTCTCTCTAAATCAGCTCAAGCCTCCTGTAAATCACGTGCGACTTCTTTGTGACCACCCCACTCTCAATCCCTCTCCTCCATAGGTCTCTCTCTCTCTAAATCAGCTCAAGCCTCCTGTAAATCACGTGCGACTTCTTTGTGACCACCCCACTCTCAATCCCTCTCCTCCATAGGTCTCTCTCTCTAAATCAGCTCAAGCCTCCTGTAAATCACGTGTGACTTCTGTGTGACCACCCCACTCTCAATCCCTCTCCTCTCATCCATAGGTCTCTCTCTACTCTTTGGTTCTATTCGGTAAAGTCACGTAGGTAAAAATAAATAAACAAAAATCGTGACTTTACCGAATAGAACCAAAGAGTATGGATCCTTGCAGTCACGAAAGCTTCAAATCTAGGTCTCTCTCTCTCTAAATCAGCTCAAGCCTCCTGTAAATCACATGTGACTTCTTTGTGACCACCCCACTCTCAATCCCTCTCCTCCATAGGTCTCTCTCTCTAAATCAGCTCAAGCCTCCTGTAAATCACGTGTGACTTCTGTGTGACCACCCCACTCTCAATCCCTCCCCTCTCATCCATAGGTCTCTCTCTCTCAAAATCAGCTCAAGCCTCCTGTAAATCACGTGCAACTTCTTTGTGACCACCCCACTCTCAATCCCTCTCCTCTCATCCATAGGTCTCTCTCTACTCTTTGGTTCTATTCGGTAAAGTCACGTAGGTAAAAAATAAAACAAAAATCGTGACTTTACCGAATAGAACCAAAGAGTATGGATCCTTGCAGTCACGAAAGCTTCAAATCTAGGTCTATCTCTCTCTAAATCAGCTCAAGCCTCCTGTAAATCACGTGTGACTTCTGTGTGGCCACCCCTACTCCCCCCCCCCTTCTCTCCGCCCACTGTGAAAACAAACGCCGCTCCTCCGTCCAGCAGCTTCGGGGCCTTTTTTTCGCTCCTCTTCCTCCCGATTCTCATCCCTCCTGACACTTTGTTCCCATATCTCTCTTCTTTTTCCTTCTCTATCCCCTTATTTCCGATCCTTTATTCTCATCCCTCTCTCTTCCCATACCCTTCCCCCCCTCCCCCTCCGCACCTCCGATGAGCACGGTTGGCTCCGTACGGAGCGGAAGTTCAACGTATAACATACGTACGCAGCACGTGACCACATTCGTCTGCATAAATTAGAATGTGCAGAGGGACACCAAATGTACATAAGGATATCCTATGGTACATTCATGAAAACTACGGACTTACTTAAGTAACTCTTAATAGGGGTTAGCGTTCGTATAATGCCCACGATTCGTTCGAACGCCGTCAAACTCGTCGGAACGGCGCGTGATTGATTCAGGGCAGCGCGATTTATTTTAACCCGCGTAGCAATTTATTGAATAGGCGGCAGGGTTCGCTCAAAGAGAAAATGTGCTAAATAATTCTAATGAAAGGCACATTTTTAACATTAAGTGAACCGTTTGTGAATGACCGAGCATGCGGTTTGAATGAACTCCCCAGTTTGCCAATGGAATTTCTGCTCATATATTTTTTGATGGAAAGGGAAAAAAAATATACAATTGGGATAGCCCTCCTTGGCTGTGTCCGGTGGCAGATGCGCAGGGGGCAGGGGTGGACGATTTATGGGGCCAACTGCCCCCCACCTTGAGTCCCTGGAAATTTGTATTTTATTTATATTTACCAGGGAAATTACATTGAGTGTTTGGTTAATTATTTTTTATTATTATTCATGTAGGGCCCTATTTGAGAGGCTTGACATTTCGGGACTGCCACCCTCGCCCCTTGGGGACCTTCTCGAGCCTCCTCTCGGTACGTCGTTCAACGGGGGAGGAGGCCTTCATCCAGCAGTGGATTGATCACGGCCGATGATGGTGAAGATGATGATGATACAACTGTAAACTAAATTTCGATTTAAAGCTTTCGTGACTGCAAGGATTCATCTTCTTTGGTTCTTTCGGTAAAGTCACGTAGAATGAGAATAAAACAGTCTCGTCCCTTCACCTGATGAAGGCCGCTTGTGTTGTGGCCGAAACGTCGTGAGAATTTTATTGTGTTATTTCATTTTATCAATTTATTATTTTTTTCTCATTCTACGTGACTTTACCGAAAGAACCAAAGAAAACTGTAACTATTTTTATTTTACCAGGTTAAGGCCCACCGAGCTATATATTTATTTTTTAGAAGCGACCTGGCTGTCACAAATGACAGCTCAATGAAGTGGCTTCTCACGTGGACATTCATAGCGGCCAAATACTCTAAATGCACGTTGATTCTAAATGTAGAGGGACAACCCGGAGAAAAATGCACACGACCATGGGGAGAGACACGCAAACTCTAAATATACAGGCGTCAGGGTCGGGATCGAACCTACGAACTCCTGTATACTTGGAGAAATAGTTAACATCTCGAAACCACGGTGCCCCACTATAGAAAGACACGAGAAGACGTTGTGGCGGCTGCGTTTTTCCGGCGTTACCTGTTGATGGCGAATGGCGGCAGCATGCCTGGTGAAAGGCCCTGCGAGTCTTGGCAGACGGGGTATGCGGCTGCTTCCTCAGTCTGCTGTATCCACACGATCTGTGACAGCACAGGCGGCAGCGGCAGCAGCAAGAAGGCACGAACCGTGGTCAACTCAGATCACACTTGGTACAAAAGTAGCTGTGCGCGTGGGGGGGGCGGGAGCGGTAGTGCAACAGTTGCCACGCCACGAATCCGGCGATCCAATTTCGATTTCCGCTCACGGCCAACACGAATGAAAGTTATCTGAACCGGTCCTGGGCCTCCCCCTAGATCGACTCAGCCTGAAATTAGTACTTAGTGCGATGTGTAAATACAGCCACTGGGGAGACAAAGGCGACCGGACGTGGTGCTGGCAACCCACCCCGCCGGCCTTCATAGGTGCTCGCTAACAGCACTTGCCCCTAGAGTTTGTTGAAAGCTAAACGGGGGATCTTTGTATTTGTGGGCGAGCACAACACCGTCTGTGCGAATAGAAACTTTGGGCAAGTCAAACAAAGCTCCCATGCCCCCCTGATCATCCAGAAAAATGGGCAGTGCTCATCTCCACTGGCAACCATGGGTCAGCAGAGGACACGACATTCCCGCGATGGTGGGAGCCAGCCTGCTCATAAGGCTTTTCATCAATAAACTCCCCAAAAAATACATTTAATGACCACGGAGGGACGATGGGGCCCGAGTTGAGCTATGCTCGTAAAGAAAAAAAATGTTGTCTTAAAAGATGAATTGAGTGATGGGGGCAGCGCTTGCATCCGTTCACAGCCCTGAGCCAGGGAAGGAAACTCCACATTCCCAAGGCAAGAGGAGGGCAGTTCTATATATTGAGAACCACCACTGTTGACATCCCACAAGCAGTATAGGTTTTTATTAATGATGGCGTGGGCCGCACACCAAACAAGAACTGAACTCGCCGAGCTCTGCTGCGTTGGCTTCCGGTTGCCAAATTAATACATTGTCAGGTCGCACTCATTACACGTGCAAAGTGCTTGCCGCAAATGAACCATAATAATACCTCGCCTATCTCGTCAAGGAGCATAAAACCATCATCGCGCAAACTCCGGTCAACCTCGCAGCAGCAGCGGCTTTTGGCTAATTATCGAATCGCGCGCTTTCAGATGCACTTCTGCAGCCATCTGGAACGCTCTTTCTTCTGAAACCACTGCTGGAGCAAGGCACTTTTAAATCTATTTGAAAACTCATTTATTGGGAATTGCTTTTTCGTGTTTAGTTCGTTCGCCTTCCCATGCACCTCCGATTAGCATAGTAGGCAATGTAGGGTGCGAAAAAAGTTAAACATATACACTACATACATAATGGTTTTGTTACTGGTTTTTAACCTTTGTTGTAGAGCTTTGTTTTAGAGATAAAGCACTAAAAATGAAAAATAAGATAGGGTGAATTATGGTCACACGAACGCGAAGAGACAGGACACAAGTCACAAGGTGGTTGGTCGAGCCGAACGGTGGCTCGGAGATGTTAGCTACGTCGCTCAGTATGCAGGAGGTCATGGGTTCAATCCCGCCCCGGACGCTTGCTGTACATTTGGAGTTTGCATGTCTCTATCTCCCCGTGGTCGGTTGGGTTTTTCCTCCGGGTCCTCCGGTTTTTCCCTTCCACATTTAGAAACGTGCGTTTGGAACATTTGGCTGATATTTTCGATTGAAAACTTTAGAACTGCTTTTTTGTGTTCAGTTTGTTGTCCTTCCATGCACCCCCGATTGGCACGGTTGGCTACGTAAAGTGCACAAGCAGTTCAACATACAATGCAGGACCCTCCTGAAAAACTGTGCCAAGACTCAATGAATCTGTATTGTGTACAATCGATGGACTACGACGCTCGGTCGTCTCGGTTGAACAAATCGTATTGAGATCGCATTTTAAGAAATCGCCCTTCGCTAGCAGAGAGAAAAATGACATAGGATTATTATTCGCCAATGTATATTATATTTATATGCACACCAAAAATGTTCTAAACATTCAAACATGTGAATAAATGAAAGTAAATATTCAATTGAAAAAAAAAACATTAATTCTTGTGAGCTGCACAAATGGTTATCAGGCCTTTTTTTTACAGTTTTTTTCTGTAATTTCTAAATTTTACTTCCCACGAGGTTTTAACTCAAATCATCTGTAACGCTCAAAGTTTACATTCACTCTCGGGAATGATTCAGAAGCTCGGGAAACCACAGACCGAGTGGAAAGGGCCGCCAGAACTGGCAGTAACAATACCCACGCTCTGCGGTCCTATATTTGAATGATTGGCAAACGAATATTTTGGATGTTTAGCCATCGTGGCGTCCATGTCACATGATGGCACGAAGGAAGAGGCATGCGAAACTGTCACGGTGCTCAACGGAGCAACGAGTGTGTCCTGTGATGGGCATCACAGGACCACATCAAAGTCACTTCACGAGCATCTTATCCACACGCAGCACATTCGGAGCAATTGCTGCGCGTGGACTTTCACCTCGTGAGCCTTTATCGGAGAGGCCTTCCTTCCAGTTTCTCACAGTAGGGGTGAGATGTTGCTTAGTGTAATCACAATTAACCCTTTTCCCATTCCAATGACGTACAAATCTGTTCATCGTCGGAACAAAATCAGAAGTAAAAGGCCACGCGGGAGGGCGTCTGGCGAAGTGTGGTCGTGTCGCTACAGTTCTCAGCGGTGAGCACGTCTTTAAAAACAACGGCGCGATGCCTATCTGAATCAAATTAACGCTGAACCACTTGCTCGTTCCGAGATTCAGCGGTGAACGGGACATCCGCCGTGTAACTTGCAGACATCTCAGAACGGGAAAGGTTTATGTAATTAGCAGGTTATCTTTGAGAATTGGGATGTTTTGGCCAACACTAGTTACACTTTTTTTTGCGATGGGAGGAGGAACGCATGGAGAAAGGGGGGAGCTTAAAAAACGAAATGCAGAAAAGGGGCTGGAAAGCCAGATATTGAACCCAGACCCTTCTTGCTGCGAGCCACGAGCGTTACCCAACCATGCCACCCTGCCACCCAAAGTTTTGGCAATGCTCAGGGTTTTGGCGATTTTCAGCTGGAGAAAGTTAGAACCGGTTCAAGATGATAAGAGTGCGTGATGCAAGGCTGTGGAGGAGACGAACCAGGGAGGTGTGGTTCGTCGATTCAACGATTACAAAAGGTGGGAAGAGCACCTGTCGCACAGGAGTCACACGTGCTAAATCCTCACGGCTGAAATTATCCAAATTAAATGACAAACCCAAGTTTTAAGACGATGAGGATACGTTGTGCACTCATTCATTGGTGACCAGGTGGAGACCATCCAACTCCCTACACTGGACAATCTGGTTTAAATCGCAGGTGGCCGAAACCCAGGTTTGAACCCAGGGTGTCTCAACGTTCCGGGTCAGCGCTCCCAGCGGAATTTTCACCCGAGCCTCTCCCCACGACCGGCTCTCAACCATACGGATGGTTGAGCGCTATCTCCCCCCCCCCCCTCGGGCAGAGGAGTTTTCCGCAGCATCTCTGGCTCCTTCACAAAATGTAAACATCCTCAATATGGAATTGGCTAAACATTCCGACGAAGTCGGAGCGCTGCGACGAGCTGTAATCGCCGCGCACTTGCGGAGAAAACACACTCACAAAACAATCCGCAATTCATGCGGCAACTAAACGCAACTGCAACTCGAGATGCTGCAGAGAAACGGCGAGGAATCCGATGAGCTATGAAGCTCTTTTTCACAGACGTCCCAGCATGGGCGGGTCAGCGATAGTTTTGCTCTCGTAAATTATTATTATAAATTACATGAGCGCAAAACAGGCACAGTCATGGGCAGAGTAACAGAGGAAGTCGGATTAATTTGAACAGAGGCAGGGAGTGAACGGCATGGGTGGCTCGGGGAGAAGGGAGATGCGGTGCGGGGGAACAGCGGAGGAGATAGAGCGACCTCCCACTGAATGAAGCCTCACCAGAAAGTGTGTATTTCATCATCCACAGATGGATGATGGGTGACAAATGGACCATCGTATGAGATTTGGGCTCGCAACATTGAGATCCTGAGTTTAATGCTCTACCACATAAGGACTTTGTTTGAAAAATTTGAATCAAAGCTCTTTTGAGTATTTCCCAACTAATTACCTACGAGTATTTCCCGCACCTCCGATTTGCACGGTTTGGCTGCAAAAGAAGTTCGACAAACATACATACAATAAAAAAATAATTAATGTATAGCCCTTCGTCAACCCACTGCTGGATAAAGGCTTCCACACACCACGTTGGATTTGGGAGTTGTTTGATCATACTTCACCACAGCGGTCAGCGCCGGTTCGAGATGTGTTGGGGGGCTCCTAGGCCTGGTTCAGAAATCAGCCGTCGCCGATGTCAGCCACGGCCGGGAATCAAACTCAGGATCACGGAACACACCACGTTAACTGGTGCCACTGTGCCAAACGTTTGCACGGTGGCTTCACGTGTCCTTTTGCAGCTGCTGTTTTCAGGATCAATTTTGATATCGGCCAAGGTACAAAGGTCTCATTGTTGGAGGAGTCGTGTTTAGAAATTGGCTTAGTTTAGATTAAGAAAAAAACACAAATGCAGGCTTCCTCCTTTTGTTAACAAGCACAATAAATCATGTTCATCCAAGATATTATTTTCACGATCATTGTGTGCGCTCGATGCAGGCTGTGTCACCCAGTGGTCAGCTCTCGCCTACTCAGCTTAGAGGATGTCGGCTCCGATCCAGCTGTCATGGGCCAACCAACTAAACATTTTATTTGCACCTCAGAATATGCCAATTTTTGTTAAACAAATGAACCACAATACCTTGCTGTTCTTGTCAAGGAGCATAAAAACCATCATGCAAACTCTGGTCGTCCTCTCAGCGGCTTTTGGCTAACCATCGAACAAAGATGGTCAATGCATCGCACACTTGCAGATGCGCTTCTGCGGCCGTCTGGAACGCTCTCCCTTGCGATATTAGAAAGCCATTGGAGCTATGCCCTTTTTAATCATCCAGATTGAAAACTGGTTTCTTTAGAGCTGTTTTTTATTTGTTGTCCTTCCCCCGCACGTCTGATTAGCACGGTTGGCTACGTAAGAAATTAAACATAAATAAATACAAATATATGTAGGGTGGTGGACACGATTGTGGTTGTGGGCAAGGCTATCAAGGCCCGCCACATACGCCCCAGTGAACTCGCCACACACCGAGGACTTCACCCGTGAACATGCTCACTGTCCCCCGAACTAAAGATTGTCTTTGCATAGCGCAGTCTCTCTCTGTGGCTGCTCCAATCATTTGGAATCGCATCCCACGACACATACGCAACAGCAACATCATCATCAATCCACCACCATTGTTAAGAGACAGGTCAAGGCCCATCTGTTTGTTTCGTTGGGCGTATGATGAACCCCGGAGTCTGGCCCTGTGCCTCCGAGTCGCCACTGGAAATCGTCTTCCATTTCGCGAAAATTAGCAGACTATAAATTGTTTCACTATCATTATGAAGGCGATGGAGCAGAGCTGCAGCAAAAGCCATAGTTATGGCTAAGGCTGGTCAACAGCTACAGTTAAAAGGCTTCAAGGCTAGGTCTATACTAAATGCTTTAGCTAGCATTAATGCTACAGTTTGGGATAGTGTGATAGTTAACACTTGGGCTCTACGGTTGGTTGAGGTTATGGCTACAGTTGAAGCCATGGCTATAGTTGACTTAAGGGTTTTGTTAAGAATCGGGCTGTGGTAATGTTATGGCTATGGTTAAGACTCGGGCTATAGGTAAGGGCTATGGTAAGGCTCGTGCTATTGTTAAAAATATGGTTACGGTTAGAGACAAGGCTATGATTAAAGCTATGGTTAAGACAATGACTAGGGCTGTGATTAAGACCCATTCCCGGACAATTGCTATGGTTAAATCAATCTTTGAGACGAGGGTTAACTACTCGGCAGCTAGATCCCATGTGATTTGTCAGGGGTCCAAAGTACATCGCCTTAAAACTCTGAAACCGCTTGGAACTATGTCGGAATCTGTCCCTTCGCTGCCTTATCAGGGCCCTTTTATTTTGGACAGTTTCGTTTCAGTTCTTCGTTCGCGAAACTGTCCACGAAACGGTCCATTTAAAGAAAGCCCGACAACACAATCAAAATCCCATTCAGCCAAAACAAAACAACCGCCACGCGTCACCGCCGCCATTGAACTACCGGCGGACCCTTTGAGAAACAGGTTGTGCCGGTGTACGCGATTCGGTTCATGTTTGTTCCCCTCCTGCCTCGCCTGCTCAACGCGGTTTTCTCCTTAAGGAGGAGGTGTGTGTACCCGCGACAACGCCTGTGGGGCTCCCTCCAACACAACGCCAGCAGTGAGCATCGCTCGCGCTGCATTCCATCAGTCCACCGCTTTACATTTCACACAAATGACCAAAGAGTACCACGACGGAAATTTAAAAAACCCCGACGTTTTTAGTTCGTTTATTAAATGTTTATACGGCACCACTCGTTTGTTGTCGACTTCCCACAAAGCAGACTTCAAGTTATCCACGCCTGAAGCAGAATTGGTCGAGGTTAAAGCCAACCGGGAATTCAACTCGCAATCCTACCCTTGCGAGTCGAGCGCTCGAATTGCAGTAGCACCGAACTGTGTCACGAATATTTTCTATAAAATTCTAAAATTCATTCGTATTAATCACTACTGAGCCTTAGGCTGGAGCAGTGGTAGGGTGGTCACAGCGCACTGCACTTTTTTAACTAAACTAAACTTTTTTTACTTTACCAGCTAAGGCCCCACTGAGCTGTGAAGCTCCTTTTCAGAAGCGACCTGGGCCACAAATGATAGCTCAACAAAGCGGCTTATCATGTGAAAATTTACTACAGCCTCTCAACCCATGTCTCTAAACGTGGAGGGTAAAAACCGGGGGACCATGGGGAGAACATGCAAACTCTAAATATACAGGCATCAGGGTCTGGGATCAAACCCAAGACCTCCTGCATACCAGGCGACGCAGACAACATCTCGCCACTGAGGTGGTGGCACCACCTCCCCCGCCCCATGACATCTGAATTTGTTTTCCAGTCGTGACTAACATCAGCAAAGATGCGATATCTGAACAGGTCCTAGAGCACTCCCTTCGTTAACCAGCACTGACCAACGTGCTGGTCCAACAACTCCCATGACCAGCATGGCATGGGAGTTGTTGGACCAGTGAACTGATAAACGGCTGTAACATTATAATCCTTATTATTTTCATGAATCTATGCAAGGTGATATATTTCCTTGTTAACTTTCCTTAAGACTGCAATGTATTACACCTGTTAAATCCTGTACGTGATTGAACATTACGGATGTTTTGTGTGAATTTCAAGTTGCTCAATCTGGACAGCTGCCCATGCGAGAAACGTCTACACACATCAGAGGAACAGCCTTTTCGTTCACGCTAAACCGGCAACGAAGGAAAAAAAAGCTTATCGGCACCAAAAAAAACCGTTTAAAACTAAATATTCAAACGCGTTCACATCTCTTGGATTAAACCGAACGGGTAGTGACGAACGGGCAGACCGACAAGCCCGAAAGACGGGCAGAGACACAGACGAGAAGACACGATAATAATGAATAATTTAGGAGGGAGCGATAATTGCTGGGGGATAATCCCAAGCGTGTAATTTGTGGGGCGATTTTTCTTCAAATGTTGACGATGACGCCAGCGCAAGCAGCGGCCGACCCTTGCGAACGACGCCAGGGGGATTTTTTTACATTCGCCGTGAGGAAGACCGGCGCATAGGGTTACGGTCTATACGCGCGCAGTAATAATCAGGGTGGCCTAATGGATTTGAACCGAGAACCTGCGCAACAAGTGGCGGATGCGCTACCGCTGGACCACGTCACGCTGGGCAATGTATGTTGTATGTCTGTCGCACTCGTACATTAATAATAAAGTGACTGATAAATAAAAATAATAATAATCTCAAGTTGCAATGCTCCCGCATCGTATTCGCTCACTCTCCAAGAGAAGGAACGACTCAAAGGCACGAAAAAAACACTTACGAGCGGTTCAGCAGCTAGGCGGTGAGCCGGCACCAAATTCCCCTCCAAACTCTGCAATCCCGTATATATTAAGGCGTTATCGGCCAATTAATGAGCGTTTAACAAGTAGGAGGGAAACTGGAGTACCTGGAGAAAATCCACGCGTGCCAGGGGGTAACACGCTATATCCCAGTGCTCTTCATTGTAAGGCCCGCGGGCCACTGGCGGCCCCTGGTGGCTTTTAGTGCGGCCTCTGACGTGCGGCCACCAACAATACACAAAAGTGAAAACACCCCCCCATCATCGTGCTGTCAACCCCCAATGGTTTCAAATGGTGTTGCGGTCCTCACACTGATCATGTATCATTGGCGAAAGTGGCACCCCTCTGAAAGTTGGTGAAGAACACTGCTCTATCCCATACGGATGGAACAGGCCAAGTCCATAATTTTTCTGAATCACCTTCTACTATACTCACAAGCCAGGGTATGGCACCTCGATGCCCACAGTAAGGGAGTTTCACAACAATTGTGTGAGCCACCAACTCCCCACTGCCTCCACAGTGCTGGGTTATAAGCCACGTGCGCAGGGAGGGAGGAAGGGGACGGGCCGGGGACCCACCTGGGAGGGTGGCGCAGCCCAGGGGCCAGGGAGGTGAGGGAAGACGCTGTGTGGGTGTGCGTCCGCGGAGTGGTAGCTCTCCCCGGGCATGGCCTGAGCGTGCGCGGAAGCAGTGGTGGCACCTGGGTTCTCCATACACGAGGCTCAGCGCGCCGGCATGACGCCACGAACCAGCGGCCTGGAGCGGGCGGGCGCACGCACGAGCGGGCAGGCGGTGGATAGGACCTGGTCGACACCAAAGACAAAAAATCCGCCGTAAAGACTTTAACAGCCCAATTCATTATTTTATTTGGGGTCAGATCGCGTAAGTTAAATGCTTCGTAAAACCCTTCTCCACCCGACACGACCGATGAATAAAGGCGGCAACACAACCGGCACGCTGTTGCAGAGCAGTCCACACACACTGAAATGGGTACATGTCTATGACTCTTACAACCAGCATCATCAGCCAGTTGCCAGAATTTTTAAAATGTCCTCCAGTCTTGGGCCTTAAAAATGTGGCTGTGAGGTCATCAATGTGCACCCACAAGGCACGAGAAAGTGGCAGGAGGTGGCCACCTGTGTCTCCCCAGTGGTGATGTTTACATGCAACACACCAGGTACTCATTTTAAGGATGAGTCCACCTTGGGGAGAGGCCCAGGACCTGTACGGATATCCGTCGCTCGTGTTGGACGCAAGCGGGAATCGAACTCTGGTCGCCGGGTTCGTAGCGCAGTGGCTCGTTTGCGATTCCTCGCGCCTCTGAGCCACTCTCTCTCTCTACTGGAGTGAGCGCATACGGTGCGGCGCGTTAACAAGTAGAATGTATTATTAGATTATCATGTAATGTTTCATTATTTGCCTTGTGAAACACCTGTATGAAACGCAGCCACAGACACACATCGAGGCTGTATCTGACCGAACCATCATATTAAGCAACTTTACATGTAAAACAAAATAATAATTATGTAACTTGCCAATACGGAGGGGCACATGAGTTGCTGTTTAATATTTATATCTATATATACTCGTACTCATTAGGGTGCTACTCACGATGCATATGGAAAAGTGAAGTTTCAGTTTCCTTTGACCACACTCTCCCTCCTCTCATACTTTTGGTTTAGCAGTCAACAGCTTAACGTGTGTCGTTCCAATCTATTCATATTTACAGGTTGCTCAATATCCCCACTCTCCTCCTCTGCCTCTACAACGACTCTGTGTATCGACCGCAAGGCATTTCTCAACTCCACTGAGCAACCAACAGATAGAACGATTGTCTTTAAACTAGCAGTGGCTTCAGTTTACCTCCTCGCCCACCTCACTCACCTACTCACCCAGGATCCCATCTCCTCTGTTTATCTGCGTCTATGCCTCTACACTGTGACTGTGTGTTGACTGCAAGGCATTTCTCAACTCTGTTGAGCAAGCAGTGAACGTCGAGTGAATGTCTTTATTCTCACAGTGGCTTCAGTTGAACAGGCACGTGTGACTAACACCAGGAGGCGTGACCTTGAAAATCACAAAACTTAATTTTGAGTCGGACCTTACTAATCAAGACGGAGACCAATTACAATTTACACAGGTTTGCAAGGTAATCTTATTGAACAAGTAACAAAGATTAATCATTTTAAGTGGGGCTTTTATCATCTACAGCGGGTGAAAGTAAGACCTTGACGTGTTACCGATGGGCTTTCAAGTAAAAAAATGCACCTTATTCATCATCGTCAGCCAAGATTGAGCTACTGCTAGATGAATGCTATTTTACCAAGGCCCATTTAGCTATATGGCTCTTTTTCAGAAGCCACGCAAATGGCAACTGAATCAAGTGGCTTATCACGTGGAAATATATCGCAGCCAAATACTCTTAAATTCACGTTCTTAAACGTGAAGCGCAAAAAACCGGGGGACCCAGAAAAAAAATCCGCACGGCCACAGCGAGAGAGAACACGCAAACTCTAAACGCACGGGCATCAGGTTCGGGATCGATCCCGGGCGAGGTCGTTACTATCTCGCTCCCAGCGGCGCCCAACCCACGAACAGAACTCGCACAATCCGACTGAAGAGTCGAATCGACCAACCGACGTGAACAACCTCGTTGTAGAACGACTGAAACAAAATGTCTACAACAAGGCTCGCGATGCAAACGCCAAGCCACGCAACAGTGGCTTTCGGGGACCGACGTTCAAACTACGAACGCAAGATGAGACCCTAAGATTGATGTGCAGAGATATTTTTGTTGAATATACATTAAAAACACGGCTAAGCGAAGCCGATAAGGCAGCACACTGTAAATGGGTGAAGGCCCAGCGGGGCCGCGTATTTACATTAGCTGCGTGCCCACCTCTTGCGCACACTTCCTGTAAAGAGCCCCCCCCCCCTTCCCCCCTTCTGCGGCTATCATCTTCCAAGCTACGTTTATTTGTTTGGCCCGGGGACAAAGTTCCCCCAACGCCGCGTCTCTCATTTAAAGTGTAAGTGACTTCCTGCTCAAAAACACAAGCGGCAGAGAGCGGGCGGGCCGACGCTCATCCCTACGACGTACAATGAGGCCCCCTTGAATCGGCCGTGGAAATCCTACAGGGTCGGTCGCCCTCCCACAAAGCGGGGGGCCTCGTTTAATCGATCCAAGAAGAACGGAGATACAGTCAGCCGAGTTGAGCCCCAGACCTGGATTTGGAAGCTGATGGCCTCATTGTGAGCCAAGCGTCCTGCCACAGCGCGCTATATACAGAGCCATGTCGTCGTCCCCCTCGCTTCGTTCCAGATATGATGGCTGCACTGGTGGAGAGGCAGCCGGACGGCTCGGGGATCAGAGCGCTGAGTCCGCACCTCTGAGATCCTGGGTTCAAACCCAGGCGGCCGTTTGGCGAATAAACCGCGTTCTCAAATTAAGCGAGTTGATGGTATCAGCCCAGTCAGTTGCCGATGACTGCACAAATAAACTTGTCACGATAAATTTGGTTCTGAACTTACTTTGGCCAGTTGCCAGCTCAGCGCTCTGACCTCTGTGCCACCCGGCCACCCCTCGTTCAGTGTTCGGTGGCCCCCCATGCAAAGAACATTACAACTCCCAGTGGCAATGAGCTGAACAGTGCTGTCCACCTATCGTGTGGACTAGAGGTCAATGTGAAGATACTTCAGAGGTGGCTTTGTGCTATAATGCTTCTGTGGGCCGTTCAAGGTGATGCTGTAACTGCGCTACAAGAGATCCAAATGGATGCTTCATCTCAGCATCATATATTTTAGCCGGGTGTAACATCCTACGTCTGTTACCTGTCACTATCAAGTCGGGGTTGGCGCACCACGCAAAGATCATCGCATGCCATGAGACTCCCAACCCGCGCTGTACTGCGAGTTGGACCAGATATGGCAGGACAGCAAGTGGGCTTCTTCACTGTCAAGACAACGCAGTCCTTGAATTTTTATTTGTATCACCGATTTTTTTCAACGTTCCCTCGTAATGTACGCGTGCATTTTTCTCCAGATACCCAGGATTCCTCCCACATCCCCACAGTAGCTGACTGTGGGAGTCAAGGAAGGACGTTCCCACAATGCAAACGACAGCTGCACGATGGAGATTACAAAGTCGGTGGATGGAATTTGAGCAAATGTCTCTCTTTGTATGGCGGACACGAGCTACGGTACAGCGGGCTCAAGCGAGAGAAGGATGCGCAATGCCTGGGCATGGCGCCTTTTAATCAGGCCGCGTGTTCGACATCATTACATTAAGAGGTTAATGAGCCAAACCTGAGAAGGTTACACGCCCTAAGTTAGGGAAACCATGCCAATACCATCAATTATAGCTTACCCGGGGCATATTAAATTACCCGGTCCCTTTCGCGCATTTGAGGAAAGTAACACGGAGACGAAAACGCCAAGCGCTGTACTTACTGAGATCATAGTTATACTGCACTCATGCGATTGACTGGTGCAGCGGTTGATGCCCGTGGCTCACAATTGGGAGCGTTTGCGGGGGGACAAGTCCCGTCCGGGGCTCTCGCCTCCGGACATCATTCATTCCCCTCCGTGCTTGATGACGCCAGTTCACATTCGTACGGAGCTTCAAGTTTTCAGTAGTCGTGCATGATACCCCCCCCCCCCCGCGCCAGAACAATGTGGGATTTCTGCCACTTGCTCATGGGTGTTTAACAGAAGATGGGTCGCCGTCCCACGCGCTCTTTTCAACTTCACATAGACAACAGTGCTCTGAGATTCTTGACACCAAAGAAAAAAAATACCCCTGTATAGCCTTAACAGACTGTTGGGGCACGTGCTGTTAGCGAGCACCTATGAAGGCCGGCATGGCACACCAAGGGGTGGGGGGATCAGCACCACGCCCGGCCGCCTTTGTCTCCCGAGTGCCGATGTTTACACACTGCACAAGGTACTCATTTGCGGCCGAGTCGATGTAGAGGAGGCTCAGAACCGCTTCAGACGATCGTCACCGATGTTGGCCAGGAGCAGGAATAGAACCCGGGTCGCCGGGTGCTTAGTGCTAACTACTACGGCTCCCCACACGTCTTTAACATGAACGTACCCGCACACAACTTAAACCGGCTCCGAGTGAACAACGAAACCCTAATAATCTTAAGGTGCATCTTATTGCTGGATTTTCACGATCGTCAGAAGCAGACTCCGAGCCACGCGGGGCCATCCCAAGGAGGGGCTGTGGGGGGCCTCGGGTCTCAGGCCAACGTTTTGAGCGACACGCCGCAGCTCCGTGCGGTTTAGCCCCTTCCACTCTGAACTATAAACTATATATTTTTTATTTTGCCAAAAAGGTAAGGCCCACTGAGCTATGCAGCTCTTTTTCAAAAGCAGCCTGGCCACAAATGATAGCTCAACGAAGTGGCTTATCATGTGGAAATGTATAGCAGCCAGATACTCGAAACACGTGATGTTGATTCGAAAAGTGGAGGGAAAAACGGAGGACCTGGAGACAAATCCACACAACCACATGGAGAACACGCAGACTCCAAATATACAGCAGCCATCGTCCGGGTCGGGATCGAACCCACGACCTCCTGTATACCAGGCGAGGTAGTTAACATCTCCTAACCACCGTGGCGTCCACTCATTCTCCACCAGTCCCCTACACCACTCACCTATCCTTGTGGCTGGTGACGCTCATATTTTGTTTTCAAATTCACAACGTTTAACCCATGCTCGATTCAAGATTACGCTCTACCAAGCAACAACATATCACTTATTCTTTCAAGTAAAATAATGCGTCCCTCCCTTTGTC